TCCCCCGGACGAGTTGGAGGAAGTGTCTGGAGAGAGGGAAGTCTGGGCATCTTTGCTTAGACTGCTGCCCCCGCGACCCGGTCCCGGATAAGCGGAGGAAAATGGATGGATGGATCTTATGTGGCTGACAGTAAGACACAAGGAAAAGACAAGTGAGGGAAACAACGGTGCTTATAAGAAACTTGGGATGTGCCCCTGGAATCGTGAGAATCAGATCAAGGGTGTTCCAAGTCTCATATCGGTTCTGAGGAGCGAGGAGGCAGCTGGAGGAGCCATGACCGAAGAGACACAAGACTAAGTGACTCCCAGTTCCACTAACTGCATCCACATTTCCCTCACTTGCATCTTTGTCCCACCAACCAACTTCAAATAAAGGGGCAAGTCAATCTATAACAGACCTCCATGGAGGATGCACTTGTGTATCTTCAGTCATAGCTCCTCCAGGCAGCCTCCTCACTTCTTGATCCTTGCTCCTCAGATCAAAAATAAGAGCTCTGAGCTGTCCTTCATCATGGTGGACTGAGACTACTTCGAGGTCAAGCAAGGAACAAGGACCAAGGAATGATAAAATAAGAGAATTGAGATTCACCTCATCCTTAGCAGAAGTTTTTTGTGAACTGATTTATGAGCCTTTTGTGAACTGTGAACTGAGCCTTTATCCATTGTGTATTATCGTGTGCCAATCAGTTGGTGATTGGACTTTTCAGATGAAGAATCAAAGGAAAGAAGTTCTCATGTGGATAAAAACATGTTTCATTGAGTCCTCTCTCCTGTCATGTTTTCCTTGCATCTTACATGGGCAGGACTAAGACACAAGGAAAAGATGCAAATAAGGAAAATGACCCATAGAAACTAGAAAACACCCCTTGTCTTTTTGCTGGGCCCCTCTTACCTCCCCCGAATGAAGGTTTCTCTGCTTTTAGTCCATCCCTCCTCAAAGTCCAAGGTAGATGTTCAAGCAGTCACTTGAAGATTAATCAAAGCTTATGGCTGCTGATTGGTGCCAGAGAATAATCCTGCTCTCCATCGGCCTGGGACACAACCTCCACAATGACCTTGTGTTGGATTTCACACTGATTCTGGGACAGGAACAATAGGTGTGGCACACCCACACACTCATAACTGTGCAGCCTTCTTAATCCCCAGCACTAAGGTCAAACCCTATTGTACTCCAGTGATTATATCATTAGTAGGTGGCTCAGTGCCTCAGAGGTCTTCAATAGCCTGTCAGCCAAGCTCACTGACTGTGTATGGTGTGCTTTGTAAAACAAGCAATACATTGTAATTTTCTTGTAGCCTTGGGCACTCAAGGAGTCAGTCAGGCTGAACAGAAACAGAAAGGGAGAACAAGTGTGGCAGATATTTTAAAAAATGTATCAATACAATCTCAAATGCTCTCTCGAATGCACATATCAGGACTCGAGGATAGGAAAAAGCATGTGCCACTGACAGAGCATTTTGAAACGCTGACATGACATTTCATGAATGCTTTGAAGAAACTAGACAGAAAAGTTAAATGGGACATGAACTAATATCATCAGACACCATCTCATTTAGTCTGTTCTGAAATGTACATTAATGTTATGAGTTTGATACAATAGAGATTCTCAAAGGACTGACCTTCTTCCTCTGACATTATTGAAGCACTGTTTCACTTTGGTGGACCATTTTAACTTTCAACAGTAGTTGAGGGGCAGTCAGCTGATAACTCCAGCTACAATGTTCATTACCTTTTAGCATGGAAACAGCCATAATTGCTCTTTCAGGTGTATTATCTGTATCATATCTAAATACTGATTGGATCAACTTTTTTAGTTTGTTGTGATGATAATACTAATAATAGGGTTTTTATACTGAAAACTTAAAGTGTGGTGCCAACTACAGGTTCAATGTCATGGAAAGGACCCTTGCATAACACAAAACACATGGCTTTAGATATACTGCCTATTCAGTGCAGTCTTTTAATCTTTTAGTCATTTAATCATTTCAGTTAGGGTGACCATCATTAGCAAAATTAGCTGTTTTTCCAAAGCAATCCTCAAGAGAATTTATTATTGTATCAAATAACCATGCTAGTGGCTCTGTGAGGCTGTACTTAGGCACAGTGGCACTTTTAGCCTGCTAGCTGGCTAATGTTTGCTAATTACCACTAAAGTACAGCTGAGACTCATGGGAAAATGTTTGCAGTTAAGGAAAATATTAAGGAAACACCAAAGTGATTACATCACTGAGGGAGGCATTTCTACCAAATTTCCAAACAATCCATCTAATAGTTATTGAGTCGTTTCACTTAAAAGCACGAATGTCAAACTACTGATGGTGCTAGAGGAAAAGTCAGCAGAGTCAGTAGGATTCATCCTGAGGTTAATGTGAATGTCTGTATAAAATTTCCTGTTGCACTGACCAACCAGCATTACTTCCCTAAAAAACAGCATGAGATACTGCACTGAGGAATATTCCTCATATACTGTATTATTACAAATTCTTCAGGGGTTTTTTTTCATGTTTTTTATCTTCCTGTGTTTTCCAGATCCTGGCAATTATCTCCATCCTCTTCATTGTGTTGTCCACCATTGCCTTGTCTCTGAACACCCTTCCAGAGCTGCAGGCCCCAGACGACTTTGGTCAACCCACAGACAACCCACAACTGGCCCATGTGGAAGCTGTGTGTATTGCCTGGTTTACCATGGAGTACTTGCTTCGTTTTCTCTCCTCCCCCAACAAATGGAAGTTCTTTAAAGGTCCTCTAAATGTTATTGACCTGTTGGCCATCCTGCCCTACTATGTCACAATCTTCCTAACAGAATCCAACAAAAGTGTGTTGCAATTTCAGAATGTCCGTCGTGTGGTTCAGATTTTCCGGATCATGCGGATCTTGCGTATTCTCAAACTGGCCCGTCACTCCACAGGTCTTCAGTCTCTGGGCTTCACTCTTAGAAGGAGCTATAATGAACTGGGCCTGCTCATCCTTTTCTTGGCCATGGGCATCATGATATTCTCCAGTCTGGTGTTCTTTGCAGAAAAGGATGAAGATGACACCAAGTTCAAAAGTATCCCAGCTTCTTTCTGGTGGGCCACCATCACTATGACCACAGTAGGTTATGGAGATATCTACCCAAAAACCCTACTGGGAAAGATAGTTGGAGGTTTGTGCTGCATCGCCGGAGTACTGGTGATAGCTCTGCCTATCCCCATCATTGTAAATAACTTCTCTGAGTTCTACAAAGAGCAAAAGAGGCAGGAGAAAGCCGTTAAAAGAAGGGAGGCCCTGGAGCGAGCTAAGAGAAATGGTAGCATCATCTCTATGAACATTAAAGATGTATTAGGCCGCAGTGTAGAGCTCACAGAGGTAATGGTGGAAAAAGATGATGACAATAAGAAGGCTAATGATAATCATGTGTCTTCTAGTCAGCAGAAAGGGACACCAAAACTCAAGTCACAAACCAGCAGTGGCAGCCCCACAGAGACGGCTCAATCAAGCTACCAAGAGCAGGCCAAACCTACTGGCAGCCCTCAACATCTCAGTGCACAGAAACTAGAGGAGATGTACAATAAGTTGGCAAAGACCCAGTCACAACCCAACCTCGACAGCAAGGAAAAAAGGCCGCTGTCGAAAGCAATTAGACAGAGAGCAGAATTTGAGTTGGAAAGCATCCCCACTGAAGTTACCCCAATCAAGGGGGAGGCAGTAACAGATATGAAGAGCACATCCAGCATTGACAGCTTCATCAGCTGTACCATTGACTTACCTGAGAGCGCTCATTTTTCCCACAGCCCCATCAGCAACATGCCAGTGAGGGTGAGCACCATCCCCAGTCTGAAGCCCACTTTAGAGAATGAGCGTGAAGGATCCCAGAGTGCCATCACGCCCCTGACAGGACGAGGCACCAAGCCCAGCCCATACTCTGACAGCCCCAGGGGCCTGCACTTCCACAACCAGCTAAAAAGTCGCTCGCTCAAGGTCAACTTCAGAGGTGGTGAGGATTCAGGTACAGGGCCCCTCTCAGACAGCTCATCAGTGCAGAGCCCAGAGGTGTCCATCTACACAACTGCCAGCAGTAGGACACCCAGCAAGAGCCCAGAGAATTTATTGCCCTGCATCTTCACATTCCACGACACATCCATCAGTAAGTACATTGATGCTGACACGGATGAGGAAGAGCACCTACATGACGGCTCAGGCACCAACATATCTCAAAGACTCCTGGAAAGAGCCAGCCCCAAGTTTGGCCATCATTCCAGCTTCCAGCAAGGGTCCGACCATATGGGGGGCCTCCAGAAGAAGCTAGGTAACAGCACACTGCCATTAGAGGGGCGGGAGAACCATGTGGCTCAAGAACTACAGCCACTTCAGGGAGAGAAGAGTCACTCTAATGCCTAGAGTTACAATAAGTGGTATGCCACGGAGGGAAGAGGAAGGTGCAGAGGGGTTGGAGTGCAAATAAGAAACACAGTGAACTTCCCTAAATATGAAACCATTTTCAGGAACATTTAAAGAATTAGAATACAATAATTAATCCATGAAAGAAAACTAGTTATGAAAGATGAAACATATTCTGCTGTCCAACTTTTTCCTACCAGTTTTGTCCTAGATTATAATCTAATAATAACAGCCTAGTTGTAAGAGTACAGAATATCTTTTTTATAAGTAAAAACCTATTTTTCTGACATCCCTGGATAAAGCCACTAACAAAGGCTGTCCAATCAGTAGCACCCCAGGGTATTGAAACATGATACTGGAAGCTTGGAAACACACTCAGCTGAAATAGTTCAAATAATTATGTAGTGCAAAGAGCGAACATACATTTTTCTTAAAGTTACGGATACCCGGTGTATAATTACAGCATTACAAATATGTTGGGAATATGGATAGTTTGCTTCCTTTAGCTTTCTTCCTCAAAACTGGCCTTAGTTCATATTGACTCCCATGTTTTATGTTTGTATGAGTGAAAACACAGGAGACACACAGACAGCATGTGAGTGTGTGCAATAATTATCTTTCAGTATATTTATTGGTCTCTTGTCTTAAGTGTGACCTTAAGGAGAGTCAGTGTTGCAATCTGTTTCTGTTGAACAGAATTTTAGCGTCTTGCTCGTCGATATTTTTTTACCGCACAAAATACATTTAGACAACACAGAGAAACACTGTGAGGCTGCATTCGCTGATTTCTTTCTTGTTCCAGTTGTGCCCAACAGCTGGCAAGAGAGCTGGCACCTTAACATAATAATTTTTTATTATGAAGACAGAAAAAAAATACTTATTTGTTTTGTTTGTTTCTAAATGTCTGTGTGTCCCTCAGACCGTTATGACCAGAGTTCATATTGCAACTGGAAAAAAGAAAAAAAAAAAGCAGTCGTGTTATTTCAAAACTTTCAGAGAAGTTGACATTTCTACTGTAGCTGATAAAGTTAACTTTATATAAAGTGACAGTGCTTATTAGCATCACAATAGCAGGAGAGATTAAAGATTTTTGTAGGAGTGTGACTCTTGTAAGGTAGATTATAACAAAAATACCCATTTATTGTACAAAATAAAGAATAAAAAGCATTTATATTTTTAAGATATTTTATAAAAGAATGAACTCTTAGACAAAATATATTGTGCTAATCTCATAGTTTTGCATTTCAAAATAAGATACAGTATGTACTGCATTATTTTGATGGGGTTACATTTGTTAGACAATAGATACATTTGTATCATTTGGTACTGTGTCAGTGTAAATGTCTGTCCCCATATCCTTCGTGCAATGTGAAGAACCAAAGAACTGTTCTTTCTGATAGCTCATACAGATTATAGACAGTTTTACTATAGTATCTCAAAATGTTAGGAACTTAAGCATCCCTTCTTTAAACAGCAGACTGGGACATATATCAGGGAGCCATACTTGTTCATTTGGTACAAACAGGTAAGCTGGAGAATGCACAGATGAGAGGACTGGCCTGTGAGGAAGGAAACTGCTGAAGGAGGATTGAACTAAAGGAGGAAGAAGGAAAATGAAGAGGGAACACAGCACTTTATTTTACACCCGATATCAAAAGCTAATACACTGTGGATTTTGGCAAGTGGTTCGCTTCCAGAAATCTCTTGCAAACAAAAAGCCACCTCGCAGATATGTACAGCTAAACACTCAGGCACACAAACAGCGTGGAGGTAGATTGTGTGTCGGTACAGGCCACTGTAGTTCAACCAAATATCCTGCATCAGGCTTTTCTGTGTGCACCTGACTCCAACCATGTGACCGGTCTGGGTGTTGTTAATCTGGTGCTCTCATGCTCTTTGTTATATTAATCATGCAAGTGTGGTTTTATAACATTAACTTTACAACATATCATGCAAACATACTACAAAGCATCTATTTTTAGTAGTGTATCTTTACACTTACAAAAATAGAAGTGTTTACTCTGTATGGTTTAGACATGAGATATGAGTTAGATATTTTTGTGCCTTTTCTTTTAACAGACACCTGCTCCACACACCGAATCTTTTAGTGCGCCCTGTCTAATGGAGACCCATGGAGAACTAAACAAACTGCACTGAAAACAAACACACAGGGAACTGGGTCATCATGCTGCCCTCTCTCCGGTGTATTTCCTGTGCACTTACACTTAAATGCACCATCCATTTACATGAAAAAGACCCAATACAGAAAAACAAACAGGTGCAGATGACCACTGTTTCCATGGTGATGGGTGAGATGACAGGAGAGCTGTCACATAGCCACATTTGATAAAAGCCGAGTTTAATTTCATAAAGACGGAGTACTTACAGAATCAAATAAATCACTAATAGTCATAGCATGTTTATTATATTCATGCATTTATTCATTCATCCCAACTGCTCGCTCCTCACCTGTAGCTTCAGTTTGCTGAAGCTTAAATTACTAAAAAAAGAAAACTACATTTTAGACCTTTCACTCACCATCCCTTCTTTCCTCCAATTGCAGCAAATTAAAAGAGAAAACAAACATCCACAGCAATGTAGGCATGAATCTAATGTGCTGTTGCTATGATGTGCATGTTCACTTCAGCTACTTATTCCTGTGGAGGGAGGGAGTGTGAAATGTGAATGGAATAAAAACAAGTGGAGTGTGACAGAGAGAGCAGTGCTGCAGAGCTGTCAGCCTGATTACAACTGACATCCCTAATGACAGTTGTTAGCACTGTGCTCCTTCGTCTCATATCCAGCTTCAGCTTAAATAACTAACACAGACAAGATGATCCTTCAGATCATTGTTTGTCAGCTCTCAGCTTCGTTTTGCCCTTTTGAGAGGGCAAAGCATTCCTCAGGCAACACAACTAAGCACTAGAAACTAAGTTACACAGGCATATTAGGTACACGTGTGGTTTTCCATTTCAAGCACCAGCCTTGTGCTCGAACCTTTTGTGCAGAATGACAGTGCAAAAATGGCAGCTGATTTGAGGCATCCATCTGAGGATGTGTTCATTTCTATGATTCTATAAATAACATCCTTGGCAATGGAAGGGAAGGTCTAGGCTAGTAGGAAAGATACTCTTACAGCAGTGTCTTTTGTCAAATGCCTCATACGAGTCCTGAGGAACAAACTTTGTAACCAAGGGGTCTGGCAAAAAAGGGGCTGTGGAGGCTTAGAGGAAACAATACAAACAGTTATTGGTGTGTGGGATTCATTACAGCACTTAGCGCTGCATGGAAATTGGGTAAAAATGTCAAACTGACAAATGGCCATATGACATTTACTACTGAAGTTCTGATGAAATGGAATAAAAGGCTAGATGGATTAAAAAAAGGGGAGGCGTGTTACACATTGATGTGTGAAGACTCATTAACATTCATCACACAACAGTCAGACATGCAGTAAATACTGAGAAATATTTGGAAATGAGCCTCTCATCATAGTGGACTTACTTCCAAACAAGCCATAGTCTGCTGTTCTCTATTAGATGAATGTCATCAATGTCCTTATTGCTTTTTATATATTTGTTTTTCTTGTCTTCTAAACTGCACCTTATCATCCTCTGCTGGTCAAATGATCCCACAATTAAAAACATCAACATTCAAAGGTGCATACTGGTTCAAATATAATTTTCAAAAGCACAAGTTATAATGTTAACAATTGTCTTTACACACAATATGTCACACAAGAGGTTGTAGTAAAATGCAGACAACTTAATTTTCTGAATTGTCCCCTTTCTTCAGGGAGTTAGCCACATCTGTTCAGCACGTAGGCCTGTACGATACCTGTACTGTGTCTGGGGAAGTGTTTGGTTTGTAATGTCTCAGACTTTGTACCAGTTGACTTTGTAGAAGATTATATTTGCGGTTTCCTGTTGCATGTAGCGCTATTAAAATACTTTGACACAGAACTTGTAAATATGATCCACGAGGCTATAGGAAAATGTCTATGATAAGCAATTTTGAAGCAGTTCTCTCCTTTTACTGACTGATGCTTAATAAAAGATAATACTCTGTTGTTGGTCTCATGAGCTTTATTTTATCAAGTGAGATGTTTTTTTTTTTTTTTTATAAATCCACTGAATGCACAACAATAGGAATGTAATACATGAGAACAAGTGATAGTCTTATGAACTGAAACTGCCAACCTTAGACAACAGCACCCTCTAGTGGTACATCCTGCAGAGAAGAGAAGAGCATCAAGACACAACACTGGACAGAAAGGTACAGGGAGAGAGAGGGGACAAACTAGGGGAGAGAGGAAACACAAAGTTAGTGACGTAATACTTCTTACTAATTGCTCCTCATACCTCCACCCTGTGTTTGGCAGAATGCAACGCGATGCTTTGGTTGCCTTGCTATTCACCATGCTAAATGTCTCAGTTACTTTCCTCTGTGACCACGAATCCTCTAGTTTCCTATCAAAAACCTCCCGTGTCTTAATCACCAAACTTGTTTACATGGTGTCAAACTGTCATTAGCTACCACCACATTTCAAATAACACACTGTTACAGTGGAGGCTCAACAAGACCAGTCGATAAAAAAAAAAATCCAAACTTTAAATAATCATCTTCATACTTACTCCGTTTTCTGCTCATCCCAGACTGTCCTCTCTCACTGAAGTACTGCACATCGATCCATTTTGACCCACACATAGCAAGTGTAATGTTTACATTATGTTTTCTGGTATTTCTTTGCCGGCGTTGCGCCTCCCCTTTAGTCCTCACACGTTGAAAACCACCTCGGGCCGAGGCTCAAGTGCATTGATGGGAAGGTAGCTCTGATAACAGGTGCCGGGGACACGCTGGATCGCCACGTCACGAACAGACCACCAAGCTGGTGGGGGAGCCAGTTCTGTGGAAGCGTCAGAGCACGAATGAGACGGCAGACACAGTGAGAGCAGAGGTCGGGGGCGTCACTACGCTGGTCAACAACGCGGGCGAGGTGGCCGGACTATCCTGACGAGCTTTTGGAGAGGACACTCCTGGTGAACTGTTTTGGGTACGTCTTTGGCGCTGCGCCTTTTACGCGCAGACACTGGCGAACAGTTGGTAAACACAAGGCCAACATGATCGACCAGTCTGACATGAATTAAGTAGCATCTGATTACTATGGTCCTCCTCGCTGCCTCGGGCCAGTGTTTGTGCATTGATGTGTGAAGGGATCAGCGCAGCAACAGAACTGGTGCAACAGTAAGGTCCGCGCTACAGGCAAAACGTCAGCTTACAAGTTCGGGGTTGTCTCTAAGGTTGTCATTTCCCCTGGCAGTTTGTTTCCTCTTATGTTGAGTTTATGTCAAGTCAAACACGCACAAGTTGAGGGTCCTCTCTATTTCTATTAAATGTACTAATATCCTTCTTATACCAGGAGAGGGAATGGATGGGTGTGAAGATCTAACAGCTCAGTGTGGAACTTTTGTTTTTCATTTGAACTTTGCTGCCTTGAAAGGCAAATGTGGCAACATATCACTTTATAGGAGGTGACACTGTATGTATGCTACCCTTCATCAATAACATGGAAATGAAGATCTCCAATGGCCACATCCAAACCTCCTAAGAGTGTAAAACCATAAGAAAACTCTGGCTAAATAAAAGACCAAGGCAATTAGCAACAGCATATAGCAGGGGTTTTCAACCAATTGTGACCCAGGGGCAATCATTCTGATATACCAACCCAAGGACGACTGTTGTGGACTGGCTACACCAGACAGACACTATTTTAATTCCAAGTCACCATGGCTTTAACTGTTGTATATTTGCATGAATTAGATTATTCACAATCAATAAGTAATACATGTTGGTGTTAAATTAAGATTCCTTCAGTGGAACTACATTATTGAAGGCACGGTCAGGGACCACCTTCAAAGCCTTCGTGGAAGACAAGGGGGCCGCACACCACTGGTTGAAAACCCCTGGTATATTGTACATTCACAATACATGAACTCATTACCACAATTGAAAGTACAATACCTGCACTTGCTTGTATTTACATCAAGCTCCATGACTAAGTCTATCCACAGCAATACTGTAGCGATTTTACATAATCATAACTGGGATTTGAGACACAAGGGCTGCTCAGTGAAAAGTTCCATTCACATAAAAACATGTTTGCTGGAGACAAACTAATATAAACTCAAACTACTACAGAAACAAAAATGGTACCCAATCTATACAAGTGCCTTTTTAATCATCTTAGCAAATAGTGCAGAAACAATGACTAGATATGAACAAAACTACAGGAAACATGCAACAAAAATATTACACAACATGTTTGAGCCACAGATTACTGCCTAAATAACTGTAAAAAGGAATTCAAACATACAGAAAAAGCACTTAGGAAACGCCTCCCATATATTTCAGATATTCCACAATACTATTGAAATTTCCCTCTGTTGACACAAATAACTGTATCAGAACCTGATCATCAAATCCTTAGTTTTGTGCCGCACAGCAAATCAAGGGCCCAAACACAAACAGACATTCAGTTATGTCAACTTTAATCATGTCCTAAAAAAAAACTTTAAATCAGAGATACCAATTAAGTTCAGACTGAATGATCATTCCTCTGGCAAATCCATTAAAACTGCCAAGTCAAACCAAACCTGTAAAGACAAGTTCAGCTGAAGCAGGTTTGTTTTGCTGTGTGACCTGGGGCCACTGTGGCTATTCCTGCAGTGTGTTGTGGTCTCCAAATTATTTGAGCACCATCATATCAATTTCAAACCAACTGCACATTGGCTGCCTGCAAGTACCCCTGCAGGAACTGGAGGGCCTCTGCATTCAGACTGGTGCTCAGCATCGAGGGAACCTGAATGGGGAAAAAAGGTGGAGTCAGAAACAAAGAATAACTGATTTGCTTTCTCCAGCAGCCCACTGCAGCATGGCGCCTGACATTATTCACAATAACAGCCACAGAACACTTTTCCAAACATACCCTTCCTGGACAGGCAGTAGAAAGCTTGTGGAGCGACTGCGCCAGCAGGATCCTGGGGTTGCCGACAGCATCTCCGATCGGGTCGCGCTCCTTCTTCCCAGCAAATGCCAGCTGTGAGAATGCAGTCTGATAGCCTGGTGTGTCTTCAATGTCAATGAAGTGCTCATCATCTGGGATGCTGTCATCTTCTGGCAACTCAAACAGACCAATGAGGGCCTGGAGAAGCGGGGCCCTGGACGGACACATTATAACCCATTATCTTCACTGAGGAAAACAAGTTAACCACCTATGTTAAACTCAATATGTATCAGGAGGACATTTAACATATAGCTATACGTTACATTGTGCTGATTCCAATAGAGAACAGCAACAGTGCCTTGCGAAAGTATT